TTTTGGTTAGTTTCAATAGCAATCTCAGAGTTTGTTTCGATTTCGGACTGGGAAAAATCAGACTGGTTTGACTTAGAACGAATTAAAGCATGATATAAACGTGGTAAGTTATTTCTACGATATGGCACTCTTTCAACAAACGCGCTATAAGTTGACAATTTCGGAGAGAGCTATATGTATTTGTTTTTATTTCTTCGCCAAATCAACATATCAACATTTTTTAGAAAAAACTAGAGACCCACTTAAGTTTTTCGATATAATTTTAGTAAATATTACTCGATCAGTACGTAATAATTACCAAATAGAAGGCGAGACATACTGTTACTGATTTGTGATAATAATATGATGAAAATCATTCAAATTATGAAAAAATATTTAAAAATAAAAAATGAATTTATAACAAAAAATATTTTCAACTTCCTAAATTTGCAATTTTTGTATTGTATTCATAAACATAAGTAAACTAAATAGTGTTTCTAGAAGTTGACCCGTTCAGTGTTTCCATGCTCATTTGCATAAACAAAATTTTTCCACGACGATGGAAAATTATGGAGTTTCTATTAGAGCTACCGAAATTGCTCCTAAATTTGCGAAATTCGCAACCTATGGCTAATATAAAAAAAAAAAAAAATAGAATAATTACAACCAGCGACTTAAATGCACCCATTGCAATATTAATGCTATTCTTTACATCTTTTGACTATAGGCCAGTGCAATCCAACAATTAAAATTTTCTTAAAAATAGACATGGGACATTTTACTCCAGATAACTATTGTATAATATTGCTTTAACAAAACTACCAAACGATTTCTTAGTTTTATGTACCTAACTATCATTTGAATGAATGTGACTGGTGGGACACTGAAAATAACTCTATTTTACACTTGTGCACTCAAAGACGAGTTTTAGGCAAAACACTTATTTTTCACGAACGATGTATTTGTGTTGTTAAATATGAATTATACGCTTTCGTTTTCAATAAAAACGAGGTTTATATGATCTTCATAGAAATATTAAAAAATATTTAAAATTGTGACTGGTGAGACATCTCCTTGTGACTGGTGTAAAGTAATTATGCATGAAATAAAAGTTTCCATAGACAAAAATTACAAATTCTTTTAATTTTTTTAATATCTTCTCACAGGTTAATGAAATGCAGCCATTTAAAAAGAGGTTACTACTGAAATAGAGATAATTAGTGCATATTTAAATTTATGTCGTTTTCCTCTTTTCAATGGAATGACCCCCAAGTTTTTCATAAACCAGTTTTTGAAAAAAGTTCAAAAACAACATCAAAAATCTCATTATTATGATTCCGTAGAAATGCTTTTTTAATATTTCTATACAAACTTTTTAAGCTTAGACTGTTTAGTCATCTGAGGTAATTTTTTCGAAAAATATTAAAAAAAAGGAACTTTTTATTAATAAAAAAAAAACAAAATTTTTGGAGGTATTTTCAAATTGGTCCAGCTCACGTAAATCTTAATATTTTTGCGAGATATTTTGGTGGAAGTCTTAAAATATAATAGATTTTATAATTCCAGTGGAAAAATAGTACCGATATTTTTTTCGTATGGGGAGTGATGCAGTCTACTGTACATAAGTTGACTATGATTACTGGGCCGTGCTATCAAAGTAGCACAATACCACTAAGTGTAAAATTTTCAGGCAATAGCCCCTTGCGATTATCGATTATATTATTTGTTGTTTGTGTGACATATTTTATTTTTATCAGTATTTTTCTTTTAATCAAAATATGTTGAAATTAAAGTGAAAAAAATATATATTTTGCCAGGCGTTTTTATTTTGACGTCTAAATTTATTTTAAAAGACTTCGTAATTTCAAAGATATGATTGATTCCAAAAATTATTTCAAAAATTCAATGCAATGTATGTAGAATAAAAATATGGGTACCAAATGCAAGAGGAAATTTCTTTAGAATTATAAAAAAATAAAAGTTTTTGGATTTACAAGGACGAATAGGTAATTCGAGGATGTTATCGAGTTTATATAAGTTGTTAAAATATCGCACACCTAGATCTAAAGTGAGCTAACTCAAAATTCATAGAGGGAAATGTAACTTCTTTTGGATTGTACATATTCAGCTCATTTAATACAAAAACATGTTATGCTTTTTTTTTTAATCTTGAAAAAAATATATATATTCGCATTATATTGATATAAGTCCTATGAATAGATATATGCAAAAAAAAATTCCATATATTTTATTTTGAGTTGATCGCACTTTAGATTTAGGTATGCGATATAATTTTGTCAAAAACAAATATTGCGAAATAAAATTTAAAAGGACATTTTCAATACTTACCAGTCGTTCTGCACAAAAAACTTGAATCTGTTTAAATTGTACAGAATTTCCTCTTTTAATTTGATACACATACTTCTTCTCTAAGCACATTTCTCTAAATGTTTTAAATTTTTTTTTGAATCACTAACGTCAGAGTGAAAAACTAAAAACGCAATGTTACTATATTTGGCCCATGGTTTCGCGAATATATTGATATTTGTGCTTAAAATTTACTATCGCGCGGTTTTATATGTATAATGAGCTAGACATTTATAAAAAAATATTAATTATTAAAAAAAAAGAAATATAGCCCATACTGGTCAAGAAAAGGAGTTTGTATTATTGCCATCAGTGCAAATTACAAATCCCGAAAATCCTGGAATTACTTGCCAAGAATCCGGGGATTTTTGGGACCTTAAAAAAGCCGGGATCCCGTTATCTGGGATTAACATTCCTAGTACAAGAATTGTACTATTGTAAATTATTGAAACTTGAAATTGAGTAAGATCATTTCTGAGTACCAGTTAATGTAATCAGAACTCATTATCTACTCGACACTTCATACTTTGGATCAATCCTTAATACATGAGGGCTGCATGAATATTCATACAAAAAATTGTCATTTATTTCAATTCAATTTATTTTCACTTTGTTTGAATATTGTGATGTCGACACAAATATCAGAACAGCTATTCACTCAAATTCAAAAAAATTTGAAGCCAAAATCATTCATTCGTTTTGTATATGAATAATTCAAAAGCCGTTTTGAATGCATTCATGCAGCCCTCTAATACATGTATCAAAGTTATGATTGGTACAGAGTATTGTTCAGTATTGAGTTCTTCCGAGCTCTGAGTACTTTCGAGTTCTTTGTGTGGGTTCTGAGTACTTTAGAGTACTCAGTACGGATACTTTAAAAAATCTAGTATCGTCGATCCTACACTAACACTATTATTAATAAATATTCTTTGCCTCAGTAGTTTCTTTACTCAAACAACTTTTTTATTGATGTAATAAAAATTTACCGCAAAATACATTTAGTTTATTTTGGTGAATAACTTCCGTAGTTTCCATTTAATTTGTGCTACTTTGCAAGATTAAAAACTTATATTAAAACCACATGTAAATCTGAGCCTAATCGAAATTTTTATCGTATGGTCTAGTGGCGAATAATTACTAAAATGGTTGGATATATTTAATATAACATTTAAAGCTCTTGGCCTAACCGTACAGTTTTCTTTTGTTTGGTGACCCTTAGTTAAATTTTTTAGAAACATTTTTGTGGATCACATAATTTGGTCCTGGAAACCGTGGATCAAATTGACTTCTAAATATCAACTTTTTTGAGTTAAGGGGTTCAACAAAATTATTCGTCGTACAATTTCAGAGAGGTCCTTAAGCAAATGAAGTACCAAAAATTATAGAAAAAACATTCGTTCTATAACGAATACATATGTATATGAGCGAATGTCATTAGTTGTTACATTTTTCGATAAAAACGTATTTTTGGTCAAAAATGGTGTTACACCTATCTTAGAAAATGCATTATCTTCAATTTTGTATAAAGAAACAAAGAAACTGTATTTAAATGAAAACTTAAAAAAAAAGAAACTAAAAAAGTAAAAATAACCACTCGTTCTCATATACTCGTTGTTGCGAATGTAACGTATACGCGCTGTAGCACCATACGCATTCATCTAACACATTTACTCGCACGACTTAGCTTAAAGGTCTGATTATGCATACTTCACATAACTTCGCACAACCATTTGTACCAGTGCACTAAAAGTGTATCTTAAGAAAATGTGAAGCAAAATCTAAACTCAACAGATCGCTAAGTTTTTAAAAGTTCTGCTAATTTCTGGGTAATGGAATACATACAAAATACATACAAAGTACATACGAAATTACACTTTGAAGTTTATGCGAAGTTGTGCGAAGTTATGCGAAGTATGCATAATCAGACCATAAAAGTCATATTATTTAAAAGTAATTAAATATTGGCGTGGGAGATTTTTACACAGTAAGAATTTTAGAATGAATCTCGACTGTGCCAATAACAATTGTAAAAATGGAATTTTAGTTTCTTTTACACAATTCAAATTTTTTTTTTCATTTGGTGAAACACTAGATTTAGTACACTAGATTCTTTCTTTTTGGTAATAAGAACATTTTCACATTATTAAAATTAAAAAAAAATTTTAATATTTTGAAAATTACAAAATAGCTGCGACAGATACTCCGCATGCTGGCATTTTTTTTAGATTTCGTGGTAAACTCTTGAAACTTCGCAGCTTTGTTATATTTGATGCCAACGCACATTGCCTCCAATATGAACATTCCATATGAAACCTTTATAAAGTTATTAAAAAAAAAAATAATTATGATTTTTACGGGTGAAAACGAAAAAAAGATTAATTTCGGTACTTTCCCGCCTAAATAAATATTTTTAGGATAAAATTGTTCAAATACTTGACTTTAACCATTATTTTCCATAAATTTCGAAAGTAATCAACCTCATGTGTTCTTCAATTCTTAATTTATGTTTCTTCTCGATTTAAAATTTGCCTCACTGGAAATTGCTGGCGAACATTGAGACCGTGAACATATGGTTATTTTTTTTTTAATGATAACGATTTTTATAAATACATGCATGGAAACAACTAATATGTGCTTTGTTTTTGGTGATTTACCTGTACAGATGCAGTGTTTGCCCAATAGCGCTTTTCAAATTAGTCATATTGCAACCGAAACTCTTGAATGTCTGCTTTTTCATAAATTATTTCGAATTAAAAAAATTCACCATTCACTAGTCCATTTTATGCACTTGAGTTTTTCACTAAGGCGACAATAGCGGCACAGTTTTAAACACGGCATTGACATATATGTATGTACATATAATACACAATGTATGAGTGCGTATGTTGGCTCTACGACACGGACAGGCGGATGCAAACAAACCGGCAACACAACAAACGGAAAATCAGCCGAAAACCAAAAACAGAAACGCACAAACTATCTGCAACGAACAGCGACAATGTTCACACCAGATTCAAACCAGTGACAGTCTCGCAATTGCCGGTTCTGTTTCATTGTCTTGGCCATAAATCATTTGCAAAAGGAAAATAAGACTCTGGTCAGGCGAACTTCGGTCAAGCACAACGCGGGGCACACAACACAAGTGTCACTCGGATTACTCCATATTTCGTATGGACATGTAGATTTTGCAGCGACATTTCGGCTTTGTATGTATATATGTATGTATAATTCAAAGGTGTTCTGGTTGCGGCGTAACCACAGAATGCCTAGTGAATCCTTGGTTTGACTTGGTGTTTGTTGGCTAAATGTTGGCTGGTAACTGTTGAAGTAGATTAAGATTTATTTATCAATGTGTCAACGGCGACAAGCTGATGTACTACTGCCAACACCGGCTGCTGTTGGACAACTGCACGACGCCAGGATGCAGGATAAGCCACGGAGCCTGGCTGGCTGCCAAGCAGTCCAACGCATCTACCCGCTGCATAGATGCTGAGGTGTTGATGTGGTGGGTGGCGGCGCAGCAGCGCACCGGCGCCAATAACAACAACAGTCACGCTCTCAAAAAGTAACATATGTATGTATGTATGTGCTTTGCCGGCCGACCGTGCGAGCAGAACGAACAACCGAATGATAACCGAGCTGCAGCCGATTGATGTCAGTGGCGGTCTCCGCGCACGCGGAGTTTAAGCCGCCAAAAATTAAAAAAAGTCGCACACACAATTCCTCACAACCACTCATTTTTTTATAAATCAAATGCGCCACAAACAAACGCCGCACCGTGCCGATGGAAGAAATGTTTCAAACCAATTTGGCGAAAAAAATGGAGCAAGCCGCTTGCACAGTGACGCAAAAGCCGCATCAGAGGCGGCAAAACGACGAATTATGACTAGGACAGTTTGATGACGGAGAAAGCACCGAATGCGTGGCAGGCGACAACAATATGCCAAAGTCGAAAGAGTACTGAGGCGAACGCGCCACGAAGCTGGGCTGGCACGCGAAACGCGGCCACAAAAATTCGATACGCAAAATGTGGCAGAAGCAACAAAAAAAACACAAAAACAACTATAGAAACGGCAGCAACAAGCCGCCAAAGGCGCAAGCACCACTGATAGGTATTTGCATGTGGAAATGAATGCGTTTGTAGTGAATACCGCGCCACCATACCGCCACTGAATCATAGTAAACAATTACTCAGTCATACATACATACACACATATATATGTATGTACATACAGATACATTTAAAAATAATTTATGCCTCATTTTCCGGCATTGCCGTGACCGCACAGCTTTTCCCCTAAATATGTGGCTTTTTCCTGCATTCTCTTCTTCATTTTTTGAAATCAGAATTAAAAATAGTCAAACAAGGTTTATTGCAGCACACAAGTAAGCAAGGTAGCAATTTTTTGCACTTGTTCGCTCTTATACACACAACAGCATTTGCACCGGCTGTGGTGGTGCGATTTCTATTTTAATGCACACACATGTGTGAATGTGCCTGTGGCCATGTGTTCGTTTTTAAAAATGGAACACCAACTTGGGTTTGCAGAATGTGCCACCCTCTACAGCGCCTGCAAGAGCAACTCAGCAACAACTATAACCGTAACGTTCACCCACACACACACACACACCGCCAAGCGAAGGACTACCACGCGGTCCAACTCAAGTTTGTGTGTGTGTGTGTGTTGTAGAGCAATGTGACGAATGTATTGCCGTGCTGATTGTTGCAAACAACCACTTGCAAAAAAACGTAAGTATGTTGGCTACACGCACGCAGAGGGGAGGAACGAAGAGCCTAGTTGCGGCCCACTAACTAAGCGCACGTTCGCTCTGTAACATCCGTGTAGCCGAAGGGAAAAAGGAAAAAGGAGGACGAAAAGTATTTAATCCTAAAAAAAAATGGGGAAAATTTTCTGCATGCCTGACTGCCCGACAGAGGGTGGTTTTTAGGACAACAACAATTGCGGGCAGAGCAGTGCAGCGTCGTAACAAAGCAGCGAAAATTTATGAAAGTATGTATGTATATGTATGTATGTAAATACATATGTATGCTTGCATGTGCTAACAGCTTTTTGAAATGGAAAGGAGGGCGTGCGACCGCGGCCATTTTTATTTTCTGCTACAATCCCCTTTGCAGACTAAACTAAAAGAGTGGCACAGAGCGGTCAAAATGTGTGGCTGTGTGTGCGAGCGTGTATTGCAGACAAATGTAGTCTTACATTCAGTGTATGGCGCAACATTCACTTATCTATTCTCCACACGGTCTGCAGAGTAGGAGAAATGTCTGCATTGTTTGAATTGCTGCACGAAGGAGGAGAAAAACGAATGCTAATTAGAAAAGCAGCAGCAAAGTAAAGCGCCTGTAAGTTGTTAAACGAGTGATAAAAAGGGCGCGCGCGCACAATGGTCAGATAGGCGAACATATTTTCAATTCTGCAAACATTATTGCTAGAAGCATGTGCTATGTAATCTGTGTGTTTTTTTTTTAATTTTTGTAACTACGCTCATTTACATGCTATGCGCCTACACACATACATATACACGTACGTATGTTTGTACGAAAACATATACACATAAGTATGCACCTACATGCATAAATATATACACATAAATTAACTTTTATAAGAGCCCAAAGGCAGTTCTCGCGATATATGCATACATATTAATATACATATTTCTTGTTCGTGTTGTTGATTTCGTACTCATTTTTTGTGAGCGAAAGCTGTTCACAATTTTATCGCTGTTATACTTCAACTTTGTTTTTTTTTTTGTTTTATGGAACTTTTGTTGTTCACTCCGCATTAAGATCAATTCTTACTGTTCTGATGAATTTTTTTATTGCCATTTTTATATCTGTTGTAACTCAAACTATTCGACGCTGATTGACGGTAGCACAAATCGCTAAAATATTTTATTATGTATAGTTACATAAATACATACATATCTATGTACATGAATGAGTAGTTGTTATTGCTTTTTTTGGCAGCTAACAGCATCAACCTCGCACTTTATAATGCAATTAATGCAGGTAATGATGTATTAGTTTTTTATTTACGGTGTTTTTATTATGTATGGATGTATATATGTATGCATACTATATACATAAGTGCATTGTACATATGGATGCATGTACATATGTCACGTACAGGAATGAAGAGACCAACTGTATAAATTACAGCCATAAGGATAACTGATCGTGCGTAACTGAATTTTCTTCTGATGTAGGCGGGCCTTCCGCCAATCACGCAATTTTCACAAATGTGTGCTTTTAACCAAAATAAAATCGTAAATTTACTTTTTAACTTTCAACTAAAGTTTAGGTGGCACCATTTTTTGCCTGGGGATTTACTCTTGTATATATACATATATATTTTTTTCCTTTCGTAAATATATTTTTTCTTTCTCATTTGAGGCATTGTGTAAGATTTATCCAATTTAACTTTGGGCGCTTTGGGCCCTCTAACTATTTTCGATTTTAAAATAAAAAATAGGGGTATATTTTTTTTTTTGTATAGAACAATCCTAGGGGGTGAGAGCATAAAAATTCCGACTTTACTTTTTCACATGCATTTTTGGACCACCCTAGTGTTCACACAATTGGAATACGATTTTCACCAAATTTTGGCAAATACCCAATCGTGTGACACTGCCTTTAATCCTTCGGAGGGCGCGGCGCGGCAAATTAGCCGCAAAAATTTTAATTTGCGGTTTTCAAATACTAATTGTAGTAGCCAGCCACTGCCACTTAGTGACTTTGTAAGTTTTTAGATGCAGCATGGTTCACAGTTAGCTGTTACTTGCTGCGTTGATCGTCCAGTTGATATTTGTATTTGAAATTTGGTATCTCATATGTATGCGGCTGAATTGCCGCTTCGGGCCCTTCCGTGTACCAAAAAAATTTTAATGTATCTCGTAAAATTTTTTTTAGGATAGTTGGAAAAGTGAGTTTATGATAAGGTTCTAAATCAAAATTTTTCTTTTGTAAGTAATTTGGCATGTGGAATTTTAAAATTATACTTTACGCATACTTTGCTTACACATTGTAACTATTATGATATTCATTTTCTTACGTTTAAGAGAAAAAAGGATGTTTTTAAACGATGTACTTTAGAACTAATTTCCGTCATCCTTTGTCAAATTTGGTTTGGAGACAAACCGGTTTCGGCCTACTTCGGTTGTTCCACTACTGTACATAAGTTGACTATGATTACTCGGCCTTGCTATCATAGTAGCGTCACTAAGCGCATTTAAAAATTTTCAGGCAATAGCCTCTTGCGATTATCGATTATATTTGTTGTTGTTTGTGTGAAATATTTTATTTTAATCAGTATTTTTCTTTTAATTAAAATATGTTGAAATAAAAGTGAAATTAAAAAAAAACATTTGCCAAAATCACTCACGTGCCCATCTCTAATTCAAATAATGTTTTTAATTTAAGATTATCTATACAGGCGTTATTTATAAGCTAAATAAAACATCATATTGGGTATCAAGTGAAAAGTATTTTTAAAATCCCCAATTCAGAAATATTTTTAAAAGGGTGGCCACCAAGTGTCCATCATATATTTATTTAATTTATTGTTTAAAAATTAAGACACAATATTACTATTCGTGGGTACTAAATTAAAGCTCTTAAATAATGCTTTGTAGTAAGTGTTATAGCTTACGATATTAGTTTAAGGGTGGCACTTATTTTCGATTTTACAAAATTTAACTGAAACTGTTAATACGTATATATGTAAAATGAAAGGTATTTTTGAGAACTTTAATCCAGAAATCCGTTTTCTTTTTTAATTAAAGTTGAATTTGATTTTTAAATAGGTGGTAGTCCTCCCACAGGTTGTTAAGGAATAAAGCCAATACAAAATTATTTCGATTGATACCGATATTGTAGTAATTAATTTAACTTAATTGTATTTAATTTTTTAACAGGACTCTCTCTTTTCATGCTCTTACTCAGATATAAACCTTCTCCTCGCCGAGACGAACATGTAGGTATGCGTGCATATCAAATCGAACCACGGCAACATAGAGTCTATCTATGTCAAACTTTAAGCAACTCTTAATCGATGTTGTTATCAATTTTGTTATCTATATTTTTTATCGATTTTGTTGCCGATATTTTTAGCGATTTTGATATCGAAAATGTTATCGAGTTTGCTATAGATACTTCTATCGATTTTGCTTGATTGAGCTTGAGGCCGTTTTTAATGAAAAACTTATTGTGGAAAAGCAACAATAATTTGAGAATTGGTAGAAGTTATAGTTATTTCGGAAATCACCACATTTCCTCATCAACAACCACATGATCAAGTGTAAATTGCAGCGGAATAGCTGCACTTGATTGTGTTGGCTTAACAAATGAAAAAGTGGGAAAAAAGCAACAATAATTCACAAGGCGAACTTAGCTCAGTGCGTAGGGATCGTCGGTTCGAATCCTACTGAAAGAAGTCTGATGAGGAAATGTGGTGATTTCTGAAATAGCTATCACTTCTACCAGTTTTCAAATTATTGTTGCTTTTTCACAATAAGTTTTTCATTAAAAACGGCCTCAAACTCAATAAAAATTGTTGAATAAAAAAGCAAATTTATTTATTGAATATATTGTATTAAATTTGTTTTCTTTTATTATTTATTTTTTAAATGTAATAGATTATAGAAGAGTTTTTAGTATAAAATTTTTATGTAAAAAAATGCCCGTCTATGCGGTTATTAACGTTCGACAATTATGTCATTAGAGATTCTGAGTATTACCGAGTTCCATTACCCATATGATTTACAGGATTTAGTCAGATGTCGTCTACATACACACATTTACAAGATCTTCAGTAATATCTTCTGCACTAAATCTGACTTTTTCAGTATAAATTCAGTAAATCTGACGGTTAAAGGAACAAACTTTATGAGTACAAATATTTAAAGTTAACTGTCG